ATATATATATATATATATATATATATATATATATATATATATACATATATATATATATGTGTGTGTGTATGTATGTATGTATACACACATACGGTACACAAGGGGCAGTCTGCTTTGATTGACAGGTGAGTTTCTCAGTGTACTGTCACTCCCTTGCAATTTTTGTTTGGAAGCTAAATCCCCCGAGGGCAACAACTACATGTTGAACTCAAAGTTTCAAACCTGCATTCTACAAAGAAGTGACAGGAGCAGCTCATCTTACTTACAAAGTTTTCAGAATAGAACCACTACGCAGTATTAGGAAGTGACCAAAATATATTTGTAACAAATACGTAAATATATATATATATATATCCATTTATGGATAATGAAAACAATAAATAACTGTTTGATTTAACTTCTGAATTAAACTCTGATTTAAATTTGACTAATGATTCGTAATTCACGAACGTGGTTTGTTGTAGTGAAGAAGGGCAACCTCTCAATTTACTGGTCTGTCTATGTTTCAGCCCTAACCTGTGGTCGTGAGGTATGGATCATGACAGAAAGAATGATTTCCTAGATACAAGCAGCCAGAATGAGCTTTCTTTGTAGGGAAGTCTTGTGGCTCAGCCTCAGCCATCTGGGATATGGGGTGAGCTCGAAGTAGAACTGCTGTTCTGTCACATCAAAATGAGTCAGTTGAGGTGGTTCGAGCATCTGATTAGGACAGCTTCTCTTTGCAGGCTTTTTGGGAATGTCCCACTAGGGCAGACCTAGAGCTTGTTGGAGGGACTGTGTATTTTTTCTTGCCTGAGAATGCTATGGGGTCCCCCAGGTGGAGCTGGAGAGTGTCACTGATGAGAGAGATATATGGGCTTCTGTCCTGGACCTGCTGCCCCCACAACCCAACTACAAATAAGAGGTAGATGATGGAAATGAAGATTTCTAAGATTTATTTTAATGTCACTTTTATATTTCAAGAAATAAACTCAAATGTATCTGTGTTTGTTTCCGTCACTTCAAAATGGAATAATAAACATTACAAATTTGAAGGCCAAGGGTGACAATTTAAAAATCTAAAATGATACGAAACAAAGCTCACCTTTTTAAAACACAGCTAATGCACACGGCTTCCAGGTAAGAGAGTCCAGCCTTACAGTACAATAAACAAATCTCCAGAGACCTTAGTTCCAACACTGATCTATAATTGAACAAAAGGGCAGAATAAGCAGAAAAGGAGGTGTGCAGAGGTCTCTGTCTCTCTGCTTCACCATCAGTGAACTTTTGGAGGAATAAGCCCTGGGGTTCCAAGGACAACTGTCAGGAGACACAGGCTGTGAACTCATGCTAATGAAGGCAGCTCAGGCCTGTAAACAGCATGGGAGGATGTCACTGGAATACATTACAATACATAACTGTCTCCCCGGGGCAGCTGGGTTGCAAGTGGCTCAGCTCCAGTGAACCACCTTCAACCTGCACTTGCATCAACACAAACAGCCAGCTTTCTCAGACCACCTGAACACCTTGCAGGTAAAGATGATAATTGCTGAAATGACCAAGCAAGTCACAACCGAGCTGTTAGTCCAAGATGCTCTGGGTTTGGTGAAATATGAAATGCATCAGAACACTTTCAAACATTGACTTATCCTCTTCTTTTATTGTCTTTCCAATTATTTCTTTCATTTTGAATTTCCCCTCTACAGAACACAATACACATCAGGAAACCATGCCTTGAAAAGCTGAAAATGTATACAAACTGCTGAGAAGTGTGATAAAACTCTTAGATTGTTGGTGCTTTAAGTGGAACAAGAGGGAATGAGGCAACGATAAAATGAGAGAGAGAGAAAGCTCAGACAGGAATGCGACCGTTTTCAGGTCAGTGAACAGCACTGTGCAGGAGCAAGAGACAGAAACAGAAAAGAGGGGGCGGTAAACCAGTAAACCAGGCCATGATTTTAGACTGATCTGCTGCCTTTGCGCCTTTCAGTCACAGACAGAGTAAACAAAATGTGAACTTTACCTATCAGGGCTGCAGAACACAAACAAAATGTTTGAATTTCTGGGATTTGGCAAACAGAAACTCTTGAGCATTTTATTTGACTGGCTATTACCAGTTGAGCAATGATTAGGTGGTTTTGTAGTTTTTACTTCAACAGACAGCACAATTTGAGATTTCCAATTGTGAATGCACATTGGTGTAGATTCATTGTCACCTAAGTTACTGGTATGTATGTACAGTATAAGACTGGTTTGTGAGATGACTCCTTGCTTCTCTGTATTTTTCAGCAAATTTTTATTTATATGCTTTACCTCAAAAGTCTTTCATGGTGTCTAAATTTTAATGACACATGCCTTTATAATTGGGTTTGAAATGATTCATTTCGTAAGCTTAAATATTTTACACAGTTGCTGTAGTTTACAATTATTTGCAATATTATGTTTGCATATAAGGACAAAAAACTTGATTGGCAGAGTTATTAAAAATGTGACATATCTTTTGCTTATATATATATATATATATATATATATATATATATATATATATATATGTATATACACACACAAATAAAAAACACAATTGCAGGAGCATCTATAAGGGCAAAGGCTGCCTTGCTGAAATGTCAAAGTTGCACAATCCATGGAATGGTCCCAGAATAAAATGCTTATATTTTACTTATGTCAGATTGAAAACACTTCCACATTTCCACATTTCTGAAATAAAGGCCTGCTCACACGTGCAAACTGTCACAGTGACTTTGTCACGCACTTGTAGGGTTGTGAAAGAGTGTGCATTAAACAAAACCATTACTTTTTCCTATGTCCAAAAAGTCTTAAGCAAACAATATTAATTATCATATAAAGCTAATAACATAAAATAAATTGTAACAACTCAACTGGGAAACTGGGAACTAATGTATTTTTGTTTAAAATGTATTTATATTTTCTTCTTGTGGCTGTTCCCTTCTTCAGATCTGTCACAGCAAAATTAACTTGCACAAAGGGAAATTAATAGCATACAAGGAACATAAGTCTATAAAAATATCTTGCATTGTTTCAATGCCACTCATTGAATTAATTAATGCAGATTTTACTGCTGGCAAACAAGACATTTTCACAGAAATACACCAGCCCTCATTATGTCATGCCATGATGTAAAAGCAGAAATGTAAAAAAAATAAGTTTACAATTCTAACTAAAAGAAACAAAATGTGTTTAATTTCTTGTAAATGTGTATTCATCTTCCTCTTACCCATAAATTGCAATCTCCAGTCATAAAATCTGCTTGCCCTTAAGCACCTTTCCCCTCTATGTTATATTGTATTGTGTTACAAGAGGCCCCAGTACCTTTGAAAGATCTCTGAAGTTCCCAGGCAAGGTCAGGTCCAGCTCCTCAGAGTCATAGTTGGTAAGGACCCAAGGAAAGACAGGGTACTGGTTCAGGTCATTATATGTCCTCCCTAGAAACAGAGAGCAGACAGAAATCTGTGAGTGATGAAAAAACCAAGGGGTTGACAGCAAAGCCGGGCAGGGCACTTTATGGCTTTGGTTACTTTGGGGGAATCAGTATGCAGCATTCCAACAAGCCCTGGTCTCTGAACTCCACAAAAAGAAAGACGTCCTTTAATACTTCCATAAAGAGATTGCCCAGAGAACATATACACTTACAGCAGAGAATGTGAAAATGTTTTCTGTGTGTCCCCTGACATGTGCTTGGAGACATGTCTGACTCCAAGATAAGTGAATGTGATTATGGCAGCATAAAGAATTATTATAAAGAATTTATTCATGAGAATTCATGTTTTATATGTAATTCTAGTTGTAGACTGTGATATTACTAGATGACGGCTTTCGCTTTGTTAAGAAATACATTTAAAATAAAAAAATATATAAAAAGTTGAGTATAAAAATTCTCTATATTCTATTTTATGGTAACTCATCCATCCCTCCATCCCTCCCTCCATCCATCCATCCATCCATCCATCCATCCATCCATCCATTTTCTTCCACTTATCCGGGGTAGGGTCGTCGGGGTAGCAGCCTAAGTAGGGAGGCCCAGACTTCCCTCTCCCCAGCCACTTGGGCCAGCTCCTCCGTGGGAATCCCAAGGTGTTCGCAGGCCAGCCGAGAAACATAGTCCATCCAGCGTGTCCTGAGTTTTCCTCTGGGTCTCCTCCCAGTGGGATGTGCCCGGGACACCTCACCAGGGAGGTGTCCAGGAGGCATCCTAACCAGATGCCCGAACCACCTCAACTGGCTCCTCTCGATGTAGAGAAGCAGTGGCTCTACTCAGAGTCCCTCCCGGATGACTGAGCTTCTCACCCTATCTCTAAGGGAGAGCCCAGAGACCCTGTGGAGAAAACTAATTTCGGCTGCCTGTATCTGTGATCTTGTTCTTTCAGTCACAACCCAAAGCGCATGACCATAGATGAGGGTAGGAATGTAGATCGACCGGTAAATTGAGAGCTTCGCCTTTTGACCCAGCTCTCGCTTTACCACGACAGACCGGTACAGCTCCTACTTCACTGCTGACGCAGCACCTATCCACCTATCAATCTCCCGCTCCATTTTTCCCTCATTCGTGAACAAGACCCCAAAATACTTAAACTCATCCACTTGGGACAGGACCTCCTCCTTCCTCCGGGTGAACATCATCCACCCCTGGGGCCCTGCCACCGAGAAGCTTTTTAACCACCTCGGTGACCTCTGAACCAGAGATTGAAGAGCCTGACCCAAAGTCCCCAGGCTCTGCTTCCTCAGTAGAAGACGTGTTGGTGGGATTGAGGAGGTCTTCAAAGTATTCTGCTCACCGACCCATGACAGCCAGAGTTGAGGGCAGCAGCACACCACCTCCACTATAAACAGTGTTGGTGGTGTACTGCTTCCCCCCTGAGATACCGGATGGTAGACCAGAATAGCCTTGAAGCCGTACAGAAGTCATTCTCCATGGCCTCTCCAAAATCCTCCAATGCCCGAGTTTTTGCCTCAGCGACCACCCGAGCCACGTGTCGCCTGAACTGACAGTACCTATCAGCTGCTTCTGGGGTCCCACAGGCCAAAAAGGCTTGGACTCCTTCTTCAGCCTGACAGCATCCCTCACTGCCGGTGTTCACCACCGGGTTCGAGGATTGCCGCCGTGACAGGCACCAATAACCTTGCAGCCACAGCTCCGATAAGCCGCCTTGACAATAGAGGCGTATAACAAGGCCCACTCGGACTCAATGTCCCCCACCTCCCCCGGAACATGTTCAAAGCTCTGTGAGAGTTAAAACTCTGTCTCACAGGAGATTCTGACAGACTTTCCCAGCAGACCATCACAATATGTTTGGGCATGCCAGGTCTGACCGGCATCCTCCTCCACCATTGGAGCCAACTCACCACCAGGTAGTGGTCAATGGACAGCTCCGCCCCTCTCTTCACCCGAGTGTCCAAGACATGCAGCCACAGATCAGATGAGACGACAACAAAGTCGATCATCGAACTGTGGCCTAGGGTGTCCTGGCGCTAAGAGCACATATGGACACCCTTATGCTTGAACATGGTGTTCGTTATGGACAATCCATGACGAGCACAGAAGTCCAATAACAGAACACCACTTGGGTTCAGATTGGAGGGCAGTTCCTCCCAACTAAAACCCTCCAGGTCTCATTGTCATTGTCCACGTGAGCGTTGAAGTCCCCCAGCAGAACAAGGAAGTCCCCAGAAGGCGCACTTTCCAGTACCCCCTCCAAGGACTCCAAAAAGGGTGGATAATCTGAACTGCTGTTTGGCGCATAAGCACAAGCACCAGTCAAAACCCGTCCCCCAGCACCTCGTTCACCGAGGTGAACCCCAACGTACAGACACCAAGAGGGGGGCAACAAGTATGCCCACTCCTGCTCGGCGCCTCTCACCAGGGGCAACTCCAGAGTAGAACAGTGTCCAACCCCTCTCAGGGAAACTGGTTACAGAGCTAGATCCATGCAGGTGAGTCCGACTATTTCTAGCCAGAACCTCTCAACCTCACACATCAGATCAGGCTCCTTCCCCACCACCATTTTATTTGTATGGTAACCCATACAAATAACAGATAAAGAAAAAAGATAAAAGCAAAAGATTAAAGGCAAGAGCCCGATTATAATCTAAGGATGGATGACAGCATGACAGCTCAGTGATTAGCACTGTTGCCTCACAGCAAGAAGGTCCTGGGTTCAATTCCCAGTTGGACCTGGGGTCTTTTTGTGTGGAGTTAGCATGTTCCTCTTGTGCTTGTGTGAGTTTTCTCAAGGCACTCCGGTTTCCTCCCACAGACCAAAAACATGCATGTTAGGCTGCCTTCAGGCCCAGGCCTCCCTTGCAGAAGAGATATGTGATCTCAATGGGATTTGCCTGGGTAAAAAAAGATTAATAAATTAATAAATAATAAAGCTGCTGTGGACAGTTTCATTACATTTATATTACTAGTAATAAATCTGGCCATACACATTGGCATCAAAAAACAAAAATAAAAGATTTATTTAACAAAAAAATTATCAGACAACACATAAAAACAAATCAAAAGTGTCAAACCTTTGACTATCAGAATATCCTTTAGAAGTTTTCAAAAAGTAAAATAAGCTAATGTTAGAAATGACTATGATTACCTTTATTTTCAACACAGGCTGAACCTTATTTTATGCAACCTTTATTTATTTATTTTTTAGTCTAAAGAAAAGTTCTTGAGGACATTTTAAAACTCTTTTCTATTAATGTATCTGGCTTTTGTTCTGTTCTTATAAAGCTCCTTCAAAATTATTGATATTTTGGCTTTAAATTGACCACTTCACCAGTATTTTTTGATCAACTATGACAAATGTAAACTTCATCGTTAAATAAGTTTTCCTGCTCTTTATCGAGGGTCTTGCACCTTTTAGGTTTTTACTGATCTCCAATAAAAATGTTTTAGTTTGATCCAATGCAGCATGTGCCTTTCTAAAGCAGATCCCAATCTGAATCAAAATGCTATTAGATAAATTGCAATTCCTGTGAAAATGCAGTGTGAATGCTTATTGCTGATGAACTTGCTGAAAAACAGTTGAAATTAGCTAAAACATGTTGACATATAGCTGAAATGAAAGAACAAGCCTTAATTAGCAGAATAAAGCAGAAAAAGCACATTTTTGCTGAATTAGGTATAAATTACGTGAAACACTAATAATGTAAAACTAATAATGTTTCATTTAGCGTTTATCTTAGATCGTTTAGCGTACAGTTTGGCATTTGTTTAGCATATATCTTAATGTATATCTAATATCATTATATACAGTTTATTTATATACTTTATATTCTTGCTATTTTAGGGTGTAACTGGGACCCCAAGCACATAATTTTGCTAATATACCATATGTGATGCAAATGACATAAACTTGAACTTGAAATAAGAAGAAATTAGCACAAAAATTAGGAAATTAACTAAAAAAAAACTAAAATTAGCAGAAAATAGCTGAAAAGTAGCTGAAAAAAGCAGAAAGAAGTTTAACCTACCAGAAGGAAGTGGAAAGAGCTGAAATGAGCTAAAAATGTGGAATTGGCTGAAAAAGCAAAACTTAGTATGAAACAGCAAAAAAAAAAAAGCTGAAATAGCAGATCAAGCTGGAAGGAGCATACCAAGCTTAAAATAGCAGAAGGAAGTTAATCAGGCTGAAAGTAACAGAAATCATCAAGAAACACTTGAATTTATCTGAAAACAGCCAAAATTAGCAAAAAGAAATTCTAAAAAATAGGTAGCTGAAATGGTAGAACAAGCTTAAATTAGCAGAAGAAAACACAAAGAACATGTTTGTCAAAAGAAGCAGAAATGAGCATAAAAAAGTGGAAATTATCTGAAAAATGATTAAATTAGCAACAAAAAAACAGCTCAAAAATAGCTAAAAGAGCAGAAAGAACCTGAAATAACAAAAAGGAAATGGAGAGAGCACATTTTTGCTGAATTTGGCTGAAAAAAGTTTAAATGAGTGCAAAAAGTGTGGAATTAGCTGAAAAAGCTTAAATTAGCATAAAAACAGTGCCGAAAAATATATGATAGTCAGAAAAATAAGAATAAATAGTTGTGTAAATACTTATAAAGCATAAAACAAACAACGCACAGTTAATGCAAGAAGGGTCAGGGGAAGCTGAGCATAATTATCAAAGTTAATAGTAAACATCCATCCATCCATTATCTTTTACCCACTTCTTCCATTATGTGGGTCACGGGGGTTGCCGGTGCCCATGTCCAGCAATCACTGTGCGAGGGGCGGGGTACACCCTGGATAGGTCTCAAGTCCATCACAGGGCCACATAGAGACAAACGAGACAAACAACGATTCACTCTCTCACTCACTCCTAGGGACAATTTAGAGTTACCAATCGGCCTAGCATGCATGTTTTTGGTCTGTGGGAGGAAACCGGAGTACCCGGAGAAAACCCACGCATGCACGGAGAGAATATGCAAACCCCAGAAAGGCCCCTGGACCGGGATTTGAACCAAGGACCTGCTCGCTGAGAGGCAGCAGCTCTACCACCGTGTTAATGGTAAACATTAGAAATAAATAAATAAATAAACAACACCGGGCTAAGTTTGGAGGATGAATCTAGCATTGGTCTGGTTAGCCCTAGTGGTGCTGAGGCTGGAGTTAGGGTGGCAGGATGTTAATAACGGTGGAATAGTGTTTAATTAGACAAAGACTTCAATTTCTCGCCTCCTCCCAGCACTTCACCCCCCCACCCCCAACTGTCTCCCTCTCACACTTTTCTGACATCCCTGGCAGCTTAGGTCATTACCGGGGATTTTTAATGAATTTTGGGCTTGTTTTTCTGTCTGCCTTACATCTAATTAGCTGACAATAATGTATCGAAATTGAGCACGAGCTAAATATAAATATGCATGAATATGCAGCGATGGGGAGGATGACACCTCGCTGTGCAGAGTAGCGTGGAGCCGTTCTTGCCTTTCCTGTTAGTTGCAGTTCAGATCAGAGAGTCAACAACAGAACCTTTCAACTCTGCAGACACTTTGTACACTTGCACAGAGTCAGGCACTAATTATCTGGCAAAAATCTACCGCCTGTTTTTTTTTTTTTTTTTGCTTCAAACAGCACACTCTCAACTGTGAAGTTTTCTATGTTGAGTAGCGCCTAAAGCTACCGTGGATCCATAAACAAATATGACAACCCTGAGCCCACTTAGAGCATGTTTTCAGCACCACTGACACATAAAGATTATTGATCCTGGTAGCTAAAGTTAAAGGCACGAGACTAACTGTTAGAAGTAATCTAAGTAATAGATTTAAACTTTCACAGATTGTAAATTTACCAGAAAAAGGAAGAAAACAAATCAGAATCTATCAGCTTAAGTGATGGCTGTAAAAAGCAAAGACATTGTCTTCAAACATTCAGTTACTTCCACATTCAATGCACAAGCTGAGAGTCAGATAATTGCAGCACATTAAATCCTTACCTGCTGTAGTGTTGAGAAACATGAGGTACTCAAAGTTGGAGATTTCTCTTCTCTGCCAGCGCTGGGTCATGTTGGAAGATTTGAAAAGTTGTCGCGGAGTTGCCAGTGAAATACGCCTAAAACAACAACAACAACAAATATTGGATAGTTTGGTGTCATGCCTTAGATTCACATCACTTTGATATGCCAACTGCTTCTTGATTGTTTTAGCGTTATTTTTTATTTTTTATTTTGTCCTCACCAAATAGTTCACGAACAGCAAGGCAGTCCAAAGATTTGTAAGTTTCCCAAAAACATTTAATAGCTTTAAGTCCACCAATTGTGGTGCTTTTTGGCCTCAGGAGTAAAGCACCCATGCAAGTATGAAAAGCACCATGAGAAAGTTTTAAGTTACAAAATCTTAAATTTTAAGCAAATAATTCAAGTTAGATTTAAAATATTGGTCACAATATTGGTTCTAATAGAATAAAATCTATTTGGTCTGACTGTTAAAAATGAACAAAAAACATTACCTCAACATAAATCATCTGTGTAATTCACACAACATCCAATTTTATTTTAGAGCATAGTCAGTTATTCTAAAACGTACTAAACAGTTAAAAGTAATAAATAAATAAAATATTGTATTGAAAGCTACAATCCTTAAGGTTCAAGGTTTTTCATTGTCATTTGCATCACATGAGGTGGAACTAAACTGTGTACTCAAGGTCCTAGTTACACCCAAAAAGAGCAAAAATATAAAGTATAAAAAGAAGCAGTATACAAGAATCTAAGATATATGCATTACCAATTATTTAACAGACTAGCTACATCATAAATGTTATTTATAATAATGGTTGCTAACAAAGCTTTTGGCCTTCATGTGAGTTTTAAAACTAAACAGAGATCTAGAGGACACAAAACATTTCACTCCAAACAAAAGAAAATGTTCTTAATGTTGCACAGTTTTAATGTGGTGCATTGTCACAAAGGTGTTAATTAGGACAGCTTAAATAGCGTGGTTGCTCTACATTCACTCAATACGTGACTGTTTCACAACAGTAAATAAAAAGGCCTGTTAGCACTCAGAGTCTAAAGGGAATCATTTTATTTTCCTGTGGTCAGTGGCCTGGCCATAGTCCTGCTGTATAGAGTCTTCTGTCAGAGAATTAGGTCAGTTCAGTCAGGGTCAGTGGACTTTCACGTCAATGACTGGAGCAATGGGACTGCAAATAAACTCAGCTGTTCAAGGCTGAACAGTTACACAGCACGTGTGGCCAGCAGTGAATTGCAATACAATAGATATCCAACAAGGCTCTTCTGATTTATATTCTTGGTATCCTTTGACCCACCTGGCTTGAGGAAGGCCATAGCTGGTTCCCACACCCACTCGAGGGAGGCAGTAGACCACTTTCTTTACTGTGGCCTGGTCAGGAAAGTTGAACATTACAGATGCTGCAGATAGTGGGATGAAATGCGATAAAAAAATTAACAGAAAACAAAAGTGTTCAAAAAATAAATGCTTCACTTTGTGCTTTACATACTTCTGTTAGCCATGAAGACTTCCATTCCAGTGTTCTGCAGAAGGTAGCGTCTGGAAAAGACAGCTCGGATTTCACTGAACATCCACTTCCCATGTAAACCCTCAGTGTATGCCAAGATCTGAAAAAGGTATCAAAGAGGAAAAAACCTTCAAAATAGGAAACATTTGAACTGAAATTAAGACTTCCTATTAGGATTTATTAAAACAAAGTACAAGTAAAAGTGAGAATTTAATGAAATCCTCTCAAGTCTAAAGGTAGAATTTGGTTTTCTTAATATTTTCAACTACATTTTTTAATTCACAAAATACAATTGCTTAAAAAGGCATTGCAAATTGATTAAATTAGACTTTACGTAACTGGATTTAAATGTGAATCTAACTGCACTGGACGGAGCCGTATCACACCTCTGCACCCCCCTTCGAATGTTATCATTAGTCGTCATCATCCCCATAGGTTGCATTCAAACTGTCCCTCCTGTACCTCCTAGTAGGTTTAAAAGTATGTTCTTATTGCTGATAATAGGGTCAGAGGGTTAGGTTTAGGGTCTGGGTTAGTTTAAGGCTCAAGGGTAGGGACAGTCTGAATGCCACCTACGGGGATGATAACAACTAATAATGGCCATTTAATGGGCTGATAACATTCAAAGCCACTGGCAATATTCCAAATTAAATAGATTAATTGAACTGGGTTTAGTAAAATCAAATAAACTGAACTGGATTCAAACTGAACATGTTTGCTTTGATGGTTTAGTGCATTTGTTGTGAATTTGCACCATAAAAATAAAGTGAACTAAAATGAATTAAAGCGAACCTGAGATGTGCTGTTATCTAGGCACTGAAGAAATATGCGAGTCATCTGTTTTTCAAATTGTATAAGAGCACAAACAATGAAATAAATGTTGAGAGGAGAGATTAGTTTGTTCAGCAGATGTTGTTTTATTATTTTAAAAAATGAACATTTAGCATTTTTCTTTCTAGAACAGTGTCCTAGTTTCATCCCAGCTGTGAAACTATCAAGAGAGTTTCTCTTCTCATTAAGCAACTAGCAATTATTAACTTCATCTGAAGGCTGTGATTGCCAAGGACCACAACATGATTAGATCTCAATTATACCAGGGCGATCAAAAATTCTTCTTAACACTAGTTTGTTGGGTCATTTCAAGCAACATTGCAGCATTAGACATTATAACACATCTCAACAAAACATGTCAATAGAGTTACTTTCACACTACTCTTTCTTTGCTGCAACAAAAAAAATGGTCAAAGAAATATCCCTCTGGGTCAGTGACACATAAATAATCAATAAAAAAAAAACATAATGTGAAGAAAGAGAGAAGACAAGAAATCATTAGTGTATGCAGCACCACTGGGACAAAAGGTCCATACACAGAAAATCAAGACAATTGTTCTCAGAGGTGAGAATGATCGTCCTCACACACCTTTTCCCCTTCCTTCCATCTCACTGAACAATTGTGTCCAACAGCCTGAACCATGAAGATGTGTCATCAACTCCCCAGGTCATTATCACTTATAGGTGCAGTTCAGAGAAAAGTATGGAAGAGAATGAAGATAAAACATGGCAACAAAGTGTAAGATTTTAAAGCACGTGTGTGTGTGTGACTGAAGGAGTGGGCAGGGAGGGAAAGCAGCAAAGCAAGATGGTGTGCTGGGTTAGGGCTGATGCTAATGCTCATTTAAAATAGTGACAGGCTGGAGGAGTGCAGCTCGAGTTGGGCCGCCTTAATTTCTCCGTGGAATAGCTCGTGCCCGACCTCCGTGCCACAGCCAAAATCTCTGGAGCTCAATTAAAATTGGATTAGGTAGAGATGCTGGATCTGCAGCACAACATCTCTGGTGCTCTTCCTACTAGTAATGTCCTCCTGCTTGACACCTCTGCAACCCCCTTCCTCAAACAGTTGTCATAGAGACAACACAGCCCAGAGGAGGCAGAAGGCAGAAAGGACAAACTGAGTGAAAGGGAAGTGAGATGGAGGGATGGCTGTGGAGCAGCAGCTATTGCTGAGGGTCAGCAGCATCTCTCCAGGAGGCAGAGCAGCTTTTTCCCTGCTTCCACTCTGCAGCCAGATGTTCTGGAAGCAGAGTTATAAATGCAGCACTGAAGGCACACAGATGTGCAATCATTCAAAGGCCACAACAATTTACTCCATCAGTAGAGTGGCAAGTTGTTTGATGTCTAGAGACCCCAGATTATCTGAGATTTCAAGCAGTCAATTTTAATTGTCATGCTTCACCGTTTGTTATTATCTCTCGCTGCTGAAGGCGAAAGAGATTATGTATTTGCTCATGTTTGTTTGTATATGTTTGAACCAATAGCAAACTCTCTCATGAACCTCTTACCATGATTTCAATGAAACCTTCAGAAAATATTCATTGTATTGATATCTGCAACTGCAATTTTCAGGGTCAACTTGATTCAAGATGGCCACCACAGATGACCATATCCTGCACAAAAATGGCTGTACGTCAGTTAATTTCAGAGTTTTTCAGCTAAAATGTTTTGTATTAGTAGCTGATAGTCATTCACAACACATACTCCAAGCTCAGTCATATCACATAGGGCATTGCATTATTGCATGGGATCATGCAAAAATATTTTTTTTACAATTTGACCAAAATAGCTAGCACTCTAGTATTTATCAACATAATATCTTAGTCTAAAACTCTGGCATGGAGGGGCAGGTCAAATGCATTCCTCCAAGGAATGCTAGGTCTTTAATTAAGCAGATGCCATTCCTCATTTGTTGAACCATTCATCCATATATTCACTTTCTAAAGCTGTCCAGTTCATGGTCTCTGAGAACTGGTGCCAGCAAATAAATTAACCACAGTTGTTGAATCATGTACTTTAATATTAGGATGTAATTTTAACAACCAAGGGAGTTTTAAAATAGTCTAGAGTTGTCTGTAAAACACTGCCTTGCAAGTAAACATGATAAATTTCCAGAAATGCAACCTTGCAGCACTAAATTGATTCTCAATATAATATTTTAGTACTTGTATTTTCTTGACAACCAGCTAATCTGAACATCTTGCTGCTGTGACAAAGTACAGGCCAAAGAGCCCGCTGTCAACAAAAGAGAGGCTAAAGAGGAGAGAAAAAAAGCTTATTTCAAACAGTCCCGATAAAAAAAAAATGTCATAACAACAAAGCTTTGGTCTAAACTAACATGCAGGAGCCCCTGTAGACTTGGGGATTTGACAAAGCCCAGCCCTCATTTTTAGAGGCCCAGCTGTAAAAAATGCCATTTAATGAACCTGTCTGCTGAAGCTGTCCCCTGCCTGTCAGAGGTGTCAGGCAATGACAAGCGCTGGGGACGGCCGCCTCCAGTCACAGACAGGCCTGCCAGCTGGAGACTTCGGCCCCAATCTAATCACACCACCAGGAAGGGACCGGCGCTCTGCTCTTGGTCTGTCACGCTCTGTGCTGGGGGAGCAGGAAGAGGGTGGGTGAAGGGATCTGGTATGGTCGACAAGCACAGCTTTTGTTTCCACACAGGTCCTTGAATGCTAGGCTCATTAGAAGACACAAGCGCATGCGCTGCTCTGCCAGCTGCAGGGGGACACACCTCTCCATTATAATAGTCATATAATGCAATTTAACATGTCAGTCCTCTTCCTGTGTTATTTTTCTCTTTTTTTTCTTGATTTGATGGGCTGTAGAATAATACTGGAGAAAAATGTGAAATACAGTGAGGAGAAGATGAGGAGAAGCACAGGTGACACTGGTGTTTAGGCTGGAACTCATATATAATAATGTGCAGATGTTCAAATGGGGCATATCTTGCTTATAAACCAACGGATGGCACTTCATGCATGAAAACAGTTTCTAATCATATTTGACTTCCGAAAAGCTTTCCCGCCATATTGACAGAGACACAATGACATATGTTATTAATAAATCTAACGAAGCATTCTTTCTTAAACCTGATGCAATTTTCTCCCATATGGAACAATGCAATCCCCCTTCACTGCATTTCTACCAAAATAGGAAACTAATATAATTCAGTGAGACCTCATGAAGCCAGCATGACTGATATATTTATATGAGACTGTGGAGCACACTGACAACCTGGTATCACAGCACCTCGGCTGCATTCTTCTCCGATTTGTCTAATAGGCTTCCACTATAAAGCTTCACAACTGCACAGTCCCAGGCGGCCATAGAGAACAGTGAAGTGGAAGAATAAGGGGAGGATATGGGGGGCTGTTTCATTTTGAGTGATATGACTACTCCCCCAGGAGCTAGTGGGATGGATTTCACACATGGCAATTTGGAGGATCAGCACACACTGCTATACTGTATTCAATTGCTGACCCCAGGCAATATTGGCCAAATCTGTGGAAAGGTTGAGCAACCAAGGAAGCCAAAGAGAAAACATAAAGCCCAGTAACAGGAGGGCAGAGAGCAGCACAGGGGAAAACTGAAAAACAATGTCAACCAAAGAAAAATGGTGAATTGCATCACTAATTGAAGGGCTAGCATTCCTTGAAGGAATGCATGTTGCCCACCACTTTTCATGCTTGAGTTTTAGATTCAGATCGTCTTCTAGAGAAAGGATGGAGAGTAGCCATTTTGGTTAAACCTTGAAAATAATGTGAGTCGTCTCGTGCAGTATCGAGACATGTCATGCTCAGACCATGTGCTGTAAATAACTTGAAGCTGCTAACACACTAATTTTTGGTTTGATAAAATCATTCTTTCTAGGTAAGTTTGAAAGTTAAAATTTGGAACTACATTTCTCTTCATTATAATGTCTATAATTCAAAAAGCACATCCCTAAAATATAAAATAAAAAAGGTACTCAGTATGCTCACACTCTGAAAAATGAGCACTTTAAACTTTGCAAAGCTGTGCAGCAGGGAGAAAACTTAACTCTGTGACAAAGAAAGACTCACATCCACCGTTTTATTTACACTTTAATCCTTTTCATGCCCTGCAAAGACTTATAATATATGCCTAAACATCAAAGGATATTTCTCATCTGATTCCACCTTAATGTGACAACTGTTGTGAGAAAGAATTTTAAAAGATTTTGCCAGATTTTCTCGTGGCTCTTCTCTGAGACGCATGCTTCTCAACTCCAATAATATAGCAGAC